GCAGCGCGGCCTGTACTCTTTTTGTTCGGTTGCTTTGGATTTTACAAAAAGCCCAGAAACTTTAGAACAAAACCAAACACCCGACGACCTTCTCCGGCGAGCGGCGAAGAGGACGGATAGGCTACGTCGCCCGAAGCCCGGAGAGAAAAGGGAAGATCCGGACCGCGCCAACTCACCCGGGGCATCCTGCCCGCCGCCTGCTCCCTGTCCCCATTCCCTCGACGACCCCCATCCCTGCCCCCCGGGGCTGTTCGGGGCCGGATCCCGGCAGCGGCCTCCCCACAGCGACAGGTAACGCGGTACGGGGTTAGGAATTCCCCGGGAGAGAGGGCGTAGAGAGAAGGGTTCCCCATCCCCTCTCCCCGGCGCGGATACCCGAGCCTGCGGATCGAGAGTGGGGGACTGTCACTTTATTCGCTCGAAGCCTCTTCTCTCCCAAGAGGATGCGCCCCATTCCCCTGATCCTTCCTCCGGGCTCGGTTTTTTACGGTTTTTATTTATTCATGGAGCCTCTCGGCTCCTAGGGTCCTTCTAACTCCGCCCGCGCCCTTAATTTAAATCGCTGTATACTGTATTTATCGGGGCCCCGGAGGGGAGGCCGCGAGAGCCGCGTCTGTGTATAAAAGCAGGAAATAGCCAAAGCTTTAATCTAGCCTAATTTATTTTTTCCTCTTACCGTCCCAGCCCTACCCCAAAAGAGCAAAACAAAACAAAAAAAATAACACAAAAACTAACAAAAAAAATTTTGAGTGCTCATTTTCGTTTCGTTTTATCCGAGCTCCAACTCGGTTCCGGCCACGCTGTAGGGGTCTGCGCTCCCACCCACACCCCCGATGGCAAGGGGCTTCGGCCCGCTGCAGACCGACCACCGCACAGCAGGGCCCCTGCTCCCCGCGGAGCCCTGCCCTCCTGGCCACAAACAAATGAAACTTGGAAAAGTTGGAGGTATTTTTTAACCAGCTGTAGAAATAAGCCGTTCCCTGAGAGCCTTCTGCCTGAGTCCCTGCAGCTTCCGTCTGCTCCCTTCGCAGCCCCCTGGGAGGTGGGAGGCTGGGAGAGAAATTCCCCTAGTTTGGGGTGAGGTGGGAACCATGTAAATATGTGAGATATGTACACACTGGCGGGGAGAAGAAACATTTTGTGCTTGATTTTTATTTTTGGTTTTCCGGGTTGCCCTCCGTCCCCATCCTACAGGATTTTGTACACCGACTAATCCGAAAAAGATATTTTAATATGATTTCCAGATTTCTGACCCGTCTCTATTTATTTTCTGGATGTGTCTGGAGCTTCCCCCTCCTCCATTTCTTGTTTCGTTTGTTACAGTTTGAATTTAAATTTTATTTTTTTTATTTTTTGGAACAATGTTTCGGTGCATTCTCTTTGTATCTTTATTGCAAAAAAAAATAATAATAAGTAGACTGGGAAGTTCCCTTTATATTTATGTTATAGTAAATATTTTATTACTCACATAAACATGTACCCCAGGGCTGTGTCCTGTCCTCTTTACTACCAGGGCTGGGTGGGTTTGTGGGTAAAGTGTTGGGATCCCTGGCTCACCTCCCCTAAAGTCTTGGCCTTGCTATTGTAGAGAAAGGTAACCACAACAACCCTTCTTCCAGGCCAGTATCAGGACCTCCTGTTACCTGGGCCACAGTTGGGCCCCTGCCTCAGGTGAGTGAGTTTAGGAAGATGAAGCTGCCTCGAGTCCCCTCCCATAAACAGACTATCCTGAGACCAGACCTGGGCCAGGACAGTGAACCGCAGGCACCACCACGCTGAATTGGGGTCAGCGTTCCTCAGGCACAACTCCACTGCTCTTCTTACCCAAGGAAGAAACCGACCTGGACCTGGACCCTTAGCCTGGCGTCTTTGTATCCCCCACCCCAACCCTGATTTTGGTTTCATTTTGCACTCCCAAGTGTGGGGCCTGGGCCAATTTCACCATTCCGGGTCCTGGGGCAGCTGGAAGCTGGCTCAGGTCCCACCAGCCCATCCCAGCTGGCTCTCCAACCGCAAGCACAATGGTACCTAAACCTACTTGGACTCACTGGCAGTTCCTGCAGTGGTCCTTCGTGAGCTGAGTGGGCCTAGGGAGGGAACCCTACCTGTTTGCTTCGACAAAGGCTTCTCAGCAAACAAACCACCTGCCTCAACTTTTCCTGCAGAAGAGTGGGGGCGTAAACAACTGTACCACCAAAAGCTCTGCTATCTCCTCTCTAGGGACGGATACCCAAGGACCGCTCCCCATCCCCTACCCCCATCCAGGCAGGGATGCATATGCCTATGGGAGGACTCCAGTGTGCAATCAGGACCTGGGTGGAGGGCACAGACATCCTCAAACATCCCCTTCTCCAGCCTTCAGCAGCAACACGCCCCCTCCCCAGAGTCAGGGTGGTGGAGGCAGATCAGTGTTCCAGGCCCGAAGCTCAAAACTACCTATGTCCCAGCCAAGACCTTCCTTTAAAACAACTCTTTTTAAAAATACGAATAAAACAGCTCTGTTTTCTCCCTTCTTTCTTTTCCCTTCTCAAGAGAAACTATACCAGGTTTCTTTTACTCTGCATGGGGACAAAGCTTGAAGCCACAATTGCTTGACTGGGGAGAAAGTTGTGTCCCCAGTGAGGGTGTATGTGTGGCCCCTCTCCCACCAGGGACAAGCTGCCAACTCCCAAGCCTGTGAGAGCCGACTGCATCTAGGGTGTCCAGAGAGGTGCTCCCTGGCCCCAGAGTTGGGGGTCCCTGCCAGGCCGGGGTCTCAGGGTGATTGTGCCATACGGAGAATTCTGGTGACTTTCTGGGCTCTGTCTCTCAATCTTAGGAGAATTGTCTCCGCAAGTACAAAGTTCTCAAATGCCAAACCTCTCCCTCTGCTCCTTATTTTTTCTCCCACTTTCACTCCAGCCTAGTGAGCAATTAGCCCTGTAATTGGCACCCGTGTCCCAGCCGGTCCCCATACTGGCAAGCCAGTGAGCCTCCCCATGCTTCTTAAAGAGGTAGCCAGGAATTTCTGGGCCAGTGAGGTGACAGCATGGCCCAGAGCATCAGGCCACCCTAGCTTGGCCTCTCATTTCCTGCTCCTCGATGTACGGAACTTCGAAGCAGTCACACTCCCTCCTTACATCTCCATTCCTGGATTTGTCCCACCCTCAGGGCCCTGAAATGGAAGCACATGGAGCTCGCTCAGCACGCCGCCCTGAGCCTCAGCAGGTTTGGAGGTTGGAAAGAGTGACTGGGAAGACAGGGGTCTTTCACCGGCCTCTGCCTGCAGCTGACACCAATTGATTGATTGATTTCCCAATTATCTGCTTAATCCTGTACGAGAGGGTGGATTTATTATTTAAGCAAGTCAACTCAAAAACAGCAAAACAATGCGGCCTCCCAAGAACCAGCAGCAGCTGACGAGTAGAACAAAAAGATGAAAAAAAAGTAGAAAAGGGGATGGAAGAAAATCTTCCACTTTGTGAGGTTTTTGCTTAATGAGACACCAGCCTGGGGCAGCTACCCAGGAACCAACCCCTGGTCACTGAAGGCCCCCCTGGCTCCTTCCCCGTCTCTGACCTGGGATGAAGGTAGGAACCATAGCACATTTGACTATTAAGGAAAAGCCATAGGGAGAGAAATATTTTACCCTGGAGTCTTACTCCCTGAATAGAGTTTAGGAAAGACACAGTCCCCTGTGAGCTTGACCGAGCCGCTTCTCCATCCCATGCATATGTGGATCTACCTGCTCATTCCTGAGAGCCTCAGCCTTCCTTTCGTTCTAGAGGGGGAGAAGTCCCTAGCAGCAACCTTCGAGGAAGCCCACGCTTTCCCGAGCTGCTTCGGAATTTTCTGATCCCATCTTCCTTCCTCATTTGAACAACATTACGTTCTATGATCATGTGGCCACATGTTCTGTTAGAGCTTCACTCTCCTCATGTGAACTTCTGTGTGCTGGTGTATGAATTTGTGTGTGTGCCACTGTGCCTGCAAATCCATAGCCACTCCCAGAGGTAGGAGGGGGAAAAGAAAGTCTATGCTACACTGCTAATGCTTGGAGCTGGAAGAACATTTGCAGGGTAGGGGTTGGTCAACAACAGGAAGAAGGAAGGTGACCGTCGTGGTCACCTGTGGTCATCCAGGCAAACCCAGAAGGAGCCCTACACTGTACCTCAAGGACACCCACCTCCTGCACCACAAAGGTGCACATTCCCCCCCCCCACACACACACACACACACACACACTGGCACTTTCACTTGCACTGGCTTATATGCTGCCCGGCTTAGGTCTGGTACAATCATCCCTTGACCCCAGAACTCGCGTGCATGTCCACTGGACTAGCTGACCCCAACCACAGCTACGCACTTAGAGCTGTTTGGAACCGAGTCTCCTCTGGAGAGGCTCTGGGCCTGCATGTGGGAGTGTCAAGCCCCCAGTGATGCACCCAGGCCCCAGCTCTCCCCAGCAGGGCTTGAGCTCCAGAAAGGAGACGCACCTGAGCAGGGGAAGGAGAGAGAGGGCGTTTGTTATCTGGGCCCAATTGCTCCTCCTAAACTTAACAAGAGGATTCACCCAGACCTCCGACTTAGTGACTGAAGCCAGAGTGGCCGTCAATCTTATCCCTGCCTGACATATTTGAAAACCCTGGAGTTAGTGTTTGGCCAGCCGATCAGGGCTCTTCTTGCTGCCTTGGGAGGCCTCCGTGTGGGAGGACTGCCCTCTATTGGTCCCTGAACTGGGACATGGCAACAGTCACCAGGGCCATCTCACAGCTGAGTGTCCCCCCAAAAAGTCAGCTTCAAGTTGCCTCCTCTATGGGAGTGCCAGATAGAGCAGAGGCAACTATCACCTCCAAGGATGCAGCCCTGCTTCACATACACACACAGGCT